CGTCGCTTTGAAGCAACCCTACTGCTGGAAGACTGGGATCATAAACAGTGCATACACAGATCAGACCTTGAATGTGAGCAAGAGTTAGGTTTATGGCTTTTGTGGATTTTTTTCTCTGTTCTGTGTGATGCTAAAATAACTATAGTTTAAGCTTAAAAAGAGGCACAGCATCCCACACCTGAGCATAGCAGAAAAGCATTTCATTTTAGGACAACCTAGTTTAATACGGTACCAGAAATGCTAAAGGTGTAGAAGCTGCGGTGTGCTACCATAGAGATTAGCTTTAGCTTTAGTACATGTTTCCAGAGTGCAGCACGTTGTTATCAATCAGACCCTGTGATTTCAGATGGACATAAAGTAAAATAGAATAAGAATGAGTTGCTTATTAACAACTACTTACTGTGCCTCCAAGTTCATAAATTCATGGTACCTGTTGCACTGCCAAATTTCAGGGTACCTGAAAACTGAATAAATTTGTGAAGATGGTGATGACTAGATGAACCAAAGGGGGGGTTTTGCCACTTGTCTTCCATTGTGGCTTTGTTCTTGTGTCAAATGGCTCTGTTTACTTTTTCTTTCTATTTTGGGGACACAGCAGCAGGCACTTTTCTTCTGCTTTAAATTCTGGCATATGATTTGATGCTTTACTGCTCAGAAAGAATTCTAGGGATGTTGACCTCAGTAGCCAATCCTTACTGCCATTTCCTTTGACATCCTTACAGTAGACATGATTACTGCTTGTTCCGGTGCTATTCAGAGGTCTTTTGCTTATCTTTCTTTTCAGGAATAGCTGGATCCTGGAGTTGGAAGAGCAGGGACAGGTTGAACTAAGGCAAATGTCTTGCAGAGGCTGGCAAGGATGGGATGCTCAAGCGTAGGTATAACAGCAGGAAGGGTGTACAAGCCGTTATATGGCAGTTCATGCTTGAATTTCCCATTACAGGAAGCTGCTTCTGTCAGGACTGGACCACACTTCATGGAAGATTTACATTGATGTTACAGAATGTAGAAAAAAGCACTGTCTGCCTTGGAGCTAGGGGTATGTGCCATGTGTGTGGAATAGCAGCAGACACCTTGCACAATGTTTGCTTGGAAAGGAAGGACGTGCATAAGGTTAAGGGTGGAGGATAACTGCTATATGAATTCTGACTATAGCAGTGTGTTTTGACTTCCTACTTCTTTTTCTTCATGGTACTTCATTTCTATAAGCACAACAGAAGAGCTGTTTAGTTGTTTCATTGCTGCAACAAGTTAGTTGGTATGACATACATGACTCGAGCACCACAAAACTCAAGAACCATATATAGTCTGGAATGTATCGTCTGCTCATGAGTCATCATGTTCTAATCAACACCAGTACTGCCAGAGATAGATAGCTGGTTTACTTCAGTTTCTGAACAAATAGTGGCCTTTCTTCTACATGGACTTTGGGGACAGGGTCTCACTGAATGCTAATGAGGAGGATGGAGCAGGAGTTCTCTTAGCTTTTTCAAAAGGTAGTACTTGATGTCCTGTCACAGATGAAGTATATCTTTAAGGCAGGAGCAGCCCTCAGGTAGCAGCAGTCATAATATGCTGTTTTCATTTGGGCTTCTGGCACCTCTTGCCAGACAGCACACGTACTTGTGTGAGGAATGTGCAGAACCCTTGCTTCTGCAGGGTTGCTTTTGTCTAGTTGTTGACATAGCATGTACCTTTATCAGCTCAGAAACGGGGTGAGCACAGAGCTGTGGATCATTTCGACAGATTGCTGTTTAAAGTTGACATAGTCCTAAAGTGCTTCCCTATACCTGGAATTACAGGCACCTGAAGACTGGAGAGATCTCTGTCTTAGAGACTGAAAGATGGCACAGGGAGTGTTAAGACTGGAGAGACACTGAAAAGAGGCACAACAGAAGTTGTGGGGAGATGGAGCTTTTGGTTTTGAGCATAGAAAAATGTGATCATGTTTGTTTGACAGCACAAGTGATTATGCCTAGAGCATCTGGAATACTTTGAGCCCAAAAGAAGCAGAACAAGAAGAACTACCAAGCAAGTGAACCAGCTCTGGCAGGTTAGAGCAGACTAGAACTGATGTAAGGAGGTGAATACTAAGGAAAGATCGTCAGCTAATGCAGAAGAGTTTGTAATTGTGATGGCTGTGGCCATTGCTGGGAAGGCCCTGACTATTTAGATGAAGAGTTGCATCCGCTCTGAGCAACGGTTGTGTTGTGCTGGTTTTGATGTTGTACCCTTAGGAGCGTTGTCTGATTGCATGCCTAGCTTGTCAGCAGGTTGGGGGTTGGTGGTCCTGGGGAAAGTTGGCTGTCCCCTGAAGATGTGTCCTCTATACTGGCAACAGTCAGGTGTTTTGTGTCTTTATGTATACATATATACATACATACATATATATAATGTTAGTCTTACCACTTTTGTTGAAAGTGAGGCTAAGCCCTATGGTCATGCTTTAGTGCTGTGCTTGATTTCAAATAAAAAAATCTTTTGAGGTCACCTCTGTAATTGTATTTGAGTGTAATTAATTGAATGGACTAACAGTCCATCACAAGCAGAGTAGGTAGAACAACTATAACTGTGCGCTTACTGCCAAGTTAAGGGAACACCTACACAGAGAAATTCAAAATGAGGAAGATTGGAAAATACAGATGTTGGTTTACAATGAAATCTAAAAAGCATGCTTGGGAAATAAAGCTATAAACAGAAGCCCACAATAGTGCATGGGAGGAACCTGCCTAAATGCTTGTCTGCTAATTCCTTCAGTAGCATGAAAATACTCTCACACGTGAACAGCATTAAGATTGTCTACTCTGTGCAGGCACCTGTTCTGGGAAAGTGATAAGTCATTTTATTCTGAACAAGGTGTCTTGGTAAGGAACTGGAGTTTTAGTTGTGTCTTAACTTCAGCTTTGTCAGTCCCACTTCTTTTGCTCTGCTACGTGGTATACAGTGGGTATGTGAGCTGACACAGGCAGGACATAGGAGCAACCACAAAACCATGGATGAAATGCAAAGAGTAAATTTATTCTTGTTCCTTTGCACACGAGGGGATCTCCAAAGCAGCGCCCGGGCAGAGGCATGCAAGCGGGAGCACAGGCACCATGGAGCTTGGTCCTTGCTAGAGAGAAGAAAAACTTTCGAACCTGCTGCTTTCACCTGTATATGAGGGATTTTTGCAAGTGTAGTTTTCCACTGTGCTGTGATCTTTCCCGCAGCACAGCAGGAAGCTCAGGTGTGTTCGTTAAGGTGTCTCTGGGTCGGTCACAGGCCTATGTTACCTAAGCACACATGTTCTACTTGTCAAACATACAGAACTTAACAAAATCAGTATAATACCTCTGTTTTTTGATACCCCTGCTGCAAGTCACTTCAGCATGTTTGCAATCCTCCTTGCCAATCTTCCGTTATGTTCCCACAGTAGGTAAACAAAATCTTGGGCTGAAGCTCCATAGCTGCTGTAGCCTCATATTGCATACTTGTCAGCTGCCTTGGAGCAAAACTGAATTAAACCTACACACAGCTGCTCCTGTACTCTGTGGTCTTCTCTGCTTTCATGGTTCCCAGAGTAAGGTAACTCTAGCATTTGATAGTGGTAGCCGAGCTTCTGGGGTATGAGGGCCCAATAATACATTACAAATCCTGTGTCAAGTAGTTTTGGGGACTTATAGAGTAAGAAAAGTAAAGCCAGAGTTCCCGTATGTATTAACTATACTGGAAATCTTCTAAGTGGCATCTGTAGAAGTGTATTCTTTCTACGAATACATGTGAGGCCCCTAACTGCTATTACTAAGTATTAGCAAGGTGTAAAAAGTTCATGGTGTTTGACCATGGGATGTGATGGAATCAGTCAGTGATGTTGTGTGACAGCACTACAGACTGAAAGCAGGTGGATGTTTCTGGATTCCAAATACTTAACAGCCATTTGCTTTGTGATTTCTTGGAGGACCTGGGAGGAGTTTGAGGAAGTTTATAACCTCCCTCATTTTAATGCTGTTCTTTCAGTGTAAAATTGTTTGTAAGCTGTATTGGATGTTGGAATCTGAGATGGAGAGGATGAGTTACTGTTGTCATTTTGCCCGTGCTGGTCTGCTGTCAGCCTTTGATGGGAAACTGCACTGCGTTTCTGGAAGGAAGGTTCAAATGGATTTTGGTGATCTCTTGGACATGACCTGTAGAAATTTGAATGTGAGAACTAGCAGCTTTCATGCCTCCCACTGTGCATTGGAGGGGGAGACTGTGGTGGAAGATGCTGCCAACTATAGAAGATACTGCCATACCAGTTACACAGACTGTGCCAAACCTTACCACCTTTATAACAGGCTTCTACACAGGTAAACTGTGTGTAAAAAGTGGTAGTACCTGTATAAACAGTGTGTTATCTTACAGGTGGGAACCAGCGTGAACTTGCCCGCCAAAAGAACCTGAAGAAGGCTCAGGAGATCCACAAAGGGAAAAGGAAGGAAGATAGCTTGTCTGCTTCTCAGAGAAAACAGAGGTAAGATCTAGCAAAGTTGAATGAAATGGTTGGGGAAAATAGGAGGGGAAGAAAGAATCCAGTGTCTTAGCTCAAACCAGTATTTAAGTACTTTGCTTGGATTCACAGTCCATTCACGTGCCAGAGTGTAACCCGTGGATGTAGCTTTTACAGTATCTGCTGTTAAACAGATGTATTTTTGGTAAGACCTGTAAAGCTTTTATTTCTTCTGAGCAGCTTGTTTTATACTAATCTTCTTCCCTTCCTGAAATGTGGGTTGCTGAAGGGCAAAAACAAGCTGGAGGAGACTCTACTTAGAAAAACAGTGAGCCAGTATCTGAAATCTGACTTTTTTTCTTCACAGAGACTCTGAGATTATGCAGCAAAAACAAAAAGCAGCTAATGAAAGGAAGTCTCTGCAGGCAGGTGCACAATGAGCTGCCTGTATGGAAAAGAGGGAGTGCACCAATGAAGCAGAAGGGCCTGGAAGATACTCATAGAAGTGTCTGGCCATTAAACAATTAAATGTCTGTCTTGCAGAGTTGTTCAACTAGCATTAGTTTAAAGTATTTTCTGGCTTAGTTGTGTGGAGTGACATTTCAAAACCAACCGCACTCTTTTGCATGCATGTGAATAAAAGCAATAGCTTTACTCCAGCTTTTGCTGCATTTGTTGGTTTCACTTAATGGTTCCAGTAACAATTTCTGAATCTACGGTTAGACCAGATTTTCTTGTCTTAATTCTTGAAGTACGGATTCATGCAGAATGGAACAGACTTGTAAAATGCGCTTAACTATACAGAGATCTGAACTGTAAATCTCAAATTATTTTTGCAATAAAATGTTGCATGAAATACTGTGTAATCTGAAATGGTAATGCTTGATAATCAGTTCTGTTTCTAAGACAAAGACTAGATAGAGTTGTGGAGAAATGCGGTGTAAGTATGTAGGTATAATAATGTAAGTTTAAGTAAAACTTGTAAGAAATGCACATTATAAGCACTGCAGTCTGCAGCAGTAAGCCTGCCCTACGGGGGAAGATGCCTGTTGAAATGCAGACTTCACTGCTGTTCGTCCCTGCCTGCGAATCTGCTGCCGATGCCCCCTTCGGGGGAGTTGGAGGCTTGAAGCGAACGAGTTACAGATCTAAGCAGATCCTGAAATCGCTGCGTCACTAACATGATTCCGAATCGCGGCTTAAAGCGGCCTCAAGAATGTAACCGCGTGGGAGGGGGCGGAGGGCTCGCCGCGGCGGCAGGCCCGCGTT